ATCTGTATATTACAGTATACCTGTTTAAACAGACAATCTGTATGATACAGTATCTCTGTATAAGCAGACAATCTGTATAATAGTTTACCTGTATAAACAGACAATCTGTATAATACAGTATACCTTCTTTAGCAGACAATCTGTATAATACAGTTTACTTGTATAAGCAGACATTCTGTATAATACAGGAGAACCTGTCTAAACTGACATTCTGTATTTTACAATTATACCTGTCTAAAGTGACACTTTTTTCATAGTAAAGTGTAATATGCCTTAACTGAATCCTGTACAATACATTATCACATGTTAGTCTTAAACTTCTAAAGTAAAGCATGACAATCTGTATAATACAGTAGAACCTGTCTTAACCGACACCTGTATATAAGTGCAGTCCATTGTTAAGAATCCATCATATTGCAAACAAAACACTTATTTTGAACAACGATTGTTTCTCCTGGTCCCTAAATGCATAAGCTTGATATTTCTTTCACTTTTTTTTAACCAAACACCATAGACAGATTCACAACTGCTAACTGAAATTTAAGAGAAATATAAACTGCATTTTGAAATGCTGTTCTTTTTTTAAAGAATTCCTGCTTTTTATTGCCAAGAAATACAAATTACAAAATGGAACAAAAATTTCAAAAATAACAGTAAAAAAATTAAAAGTATAAACTCGCTTAAAATGCCTTTTGATTGACATAAATGAATATTCATACGGTTACAAAACATCTATTTAAATACACTAAAATTGTAAAAGCACAAATGTTAATAAGAAGGCCACAAGTTTCATCAGAAAACAATTACCAGTAAAAGATACCCAAAAATCCCTCAAAACTTACCAAACCAGATCTATGCTTAACTTTGAAATTCTTAAAAATTGTCAACATGTTTGATTTTGGTATTTAAAGGTAAACTTCCATATCATATTTTGTTGATACACTTCTACAGCCTAACGATCAAATAGTTTATTATATTTTCAAAAAAATATAACGCAAAAAAAACTTCTTAACCCATGCTGAGAAATGTTGACCTGAAGGCATAACTCCTTTAGAAAGACCTTCCAGTTATCTAATGCAAATTTAAAATACTATAAAATGAATGTAATAAAAACGAACTCAACACACAACATAAAAATTATAATGTATACACATCACATAGCTCTTACCGGTAAATCTAATAATTCAAAGAAGATGTTATAAGTGTTTTATACTTAATTCATATTAAAGATTTATAAAACTGATTTACGGCAACAAAAAATTCTAGTCTTATTTCCTGAATTGTAGATGCCGATGGAAAGACCAGACAGATTACTTTTAGTTGCATGTGATATGGTGGGACATATAACAAGGGAGAGACATTTTTTTTTTTTTAAATATTATGAAAACTGTTTTACAAAGCCCCTTTGGCCCGAGTTAATTATTGTTCCAACATTTTTTCCAATCCCGAGTTATATAGTCCACCATAACATTCACACATAGGCTGATTATTTCTATTCTACCACTTGAAATTGTAACTTAGTATAAATTTGTAACTATTTCCATGCATATACAAGGCAATGTTACCTCGATCATCCAGCTGTTTAATTTAGGTTGATCTCTTGGGTATACAAACATTTGTCACATGATGCCTCGTTTTCATTTCACCAACAAGCCGAATTCAAAGCAAATCTCATCCTTTTTGGAGCTTCAGCCAGCAGGTATACTGGGCCAGTGTTTAGATATGTACATGTACTTGTCATGTAGTCTTTTTCAAAAAGAAAAAATTAACCCATCCAAAATAAGTCACACACGGCTTACCTGTTCAAGGCTTCGGGAAGAATGTTGCAAATGAAAGGTTTGTTGGAAAAAAATACATGCACATGCATGTAAAATTACCTAACAAGATATAATTAATAACCAGTTTAGATCTTTTATTATTGCTGATGTATACAGAGTAATAGAGGCAGGGACATATTTATAAAATGTTCACATCAGAATTTTAATTACCACAACTAACAACTGACTTAAGTCATTTACAGTTCACTGTTTGTACTATCTCTAGGCATTCTAAATAATCACCTTCAAATAAAACCATAAAACAATTATTAAGATTTCCTCTTGAACAACAAAGGAAAATGATGAAATAAAAAGACCTGATTTAATCATTAGAAGTAGTTATTTATCTAAACAATCATAGTCCTCATAATAGGGGAGAAAACATTATTTTAAAATTTGCATATTCATGACTTCAATAGTATTGCACATTTATGATAGCTGCATGCGGATAATAAACTGTTTTCATACATATATTTAAAAAAAAAAGATCTTATCAAACTTCATAGTTTTGAGTTAAGCCTCCTCTTATGTGTGGAGATTATGGGCAAGTGTTTAGATACAGAGGATATAATCTTTGGGCTGTCACATGATTTAGATTTTGCTAATCGTAATAAAGTTATTTTTCTATCGATTTGAACTAATATGAGTAATCTCCCTTTATGTAACCTACAATGTATGTGACTCACATGTAGCTACATATTTAGGAAAATTGATTATTAAATCCTTTTAACTTCTATGGCACATTGATCTACTTCTGTCAGTCATGTACTCTACTGATCAGGAATGTTCTAAGTACATTTGGCAATATGATCTATTAATTAATACATAAAAAAGAACCCTTCTAGAACCATAGACTCCTCACAAAACGATTCAATAACCAGATTATATCATTCAGACTCAGAAATAAATAATAAACACATATTATGAAATACAAAATACTTACACACTAACAAATGAGATACAACCAGTAAAAGCATGTTGGAACACAACAACATTTAGACATATGTGTGAACTACATACACTAAAATTTTACAGCAACACATGAAGAGATTAAGAATGTACGGACTCGTACATTGATTCGAATAATGTTTACAATCTCCTTCCAACTCAACAGTATCATCTCAGATTCAACTCAGTGTTATAATAAACCACTTTTGATTTCTATAAAACATTTGAAAACTGGATTTCTTTTCAAAATAAATTTTGGCAATAAATAATGAATAAGTTTAAAATGATTGAAATGTTATCTACAATTTTACCAGGCCAATGAAGCGATCTGTTTACTCCTTTTTGATAAATATCTTTAACAAATATAAATTTTGTTTATACCACCAAAGCTTTGTACTTCAGCAATGTACATTAATATAACATCTTTGAATTATCAAGTAATACATACTGTCTAGGAACATGTTTAAGTCAGAATGTAACTATTTTCTTATCACAAAAAATGTGCAATTCATCAAAATGTTGAAAAAAAACCTTTTTTATTCAACATTATTTCATGGATTGTACTTAAAGTTAATTGTAGTTAAGATATGATAATAGAAGGCAGCTCTTTATACTGTCAAAAGTTCTAGTAGCTTGAAAACTAATCACTTTTTTTTTGCTCCTGAAAGTGTTTTTCATTACTAAATTTGTGAAATGTACTGTGCTTCAATTTTATAATGAAATTCTGAAAAGTTACCTTTCAACGGAATCTTTTGATAGCAAGAGATGTAAAATTTCTTATTGTTTTGTACTTTACCAAAAAAAAACATTTAACCAGAATGATATGTAACAGGAGATGAAAAATGCTAGACAGGTTTTCGAACTTGATTTTGCTTCAAATACACTCCAAATTTCTTTTTGTTTAGAATCAGTAAAACTGAATCTATTTTAACTCAAGATTTTTTTGAAAATATTCTTGACATAGAAACAACTACAGTACATGTCTTCAATACTATCAGATATATCAATAAATACACAATCTTCAGTGAACCTTAAATATAACTATAAAATCAGATAAATAAATCTTTACCAACCCAATGTAACAAGAATACAGATGATAACCACAGAAACAGGCAGGTTTTATATGTCTTATATATTTGTTCTCGACAGAATAAAAACATCCAATAAGAGGGTCTGATAATAGTCTGATTGGAATAATAAATTAGTATCATACAATTCAGAGAGACGCTTGTCGCAGTACTCTGTAATATTGGATGTCAAGAACATTAAAAAAGTGTTCTACTACAGCACAAGACTCATATTCTACCTGACATGTACATAGAATGAGCATTTCGTTGTTTAACTATATACCTCTCTAATGGCAGATAAGTATTGTGCAAATCACAAAGTCGCTTATAGCAGTAGTTCTCTACAATGTTAGACGTCCAGAACCAACAATTCTACAGGGTGACAGCCATACACCTGCTTATAGCAGTAGTTCTCTACAATGTTAAACGTCCAGAACCAACAATTCTACAGGGTGACAGCCATACACCTGCTTATAGCAGTAGATCTCTACAATGTTGGACGTCCAGAACCAACAATTTTACAGGGTGACAGCCATACACCTGCTTATAGCAGGAGTTCTCTACAATGTTGGACGTCCAGAACCACCAATTCTACAGGGTGACAGCCATACACCTGCTTATAGCAGTAGATCTCTACAATGTTGGACGTCCAGAACCAACAATTTTACAGGGTGACAGCCATACACCTGCTTATAGCAGTAGATCTCTACAATGTTGGACGTCCAGAACCAACAATTTTACAGGGTGACAGCCATACACCTGCTTATAGAAGTAGTTCTCTACAATGTTAAACGTCCAGAACCAACAATTCTACAGGGTGACAGCCATACACCTGCATACAGAATTTGTGAAGTAGAGGACAGTTAGTCACAATGTATATATATATATATATATATCTATTTGGCATAGTTAATATGAAGGCAGTATAGAAAACATCACACAAAGCTCACACTGTATGTAACAGTCATCCATGGCAACTCCCCAGGAACTGTATCAGTAGAAATACAGACAATAACACTTGTGGTGTGTATTGATATCACTTGTATTCCGTCTTTGCGTATTGCAGAGTTATCTTCTCTTGGGAGCAGGTATTGATTGTTACGTCACTTGTTTGTGAGAGTAACGTCATCAATTTTTGGGAAAACAAGGTAATTTTCTCACACAGGCCAATGACGTAACAATCAATACCTGCTCCCGAGAGAAGATAACTCTGCAATATGCAAAGACGGAATAACTTATCAAATCTGTTCATAACAGACAAACTGATACAATGTACCTGAAAAAGTTAGTCATATGCCGATAAAGTCCCTATTCGCCGAGTGTTAATTCTGCCTTTTGTATTTGATTACTCCATTCACATTCATCAGTATGTTTATATGTAATGTTTATTAAGGTTTTTTGTAAGATACATTTGCTCTCGTTGTGGTGGATGAAAAAGGCAGTTAGAACTGTGGCAAAAATGTCCCATTGTGCAGTTAATACAAGGGGCCCGTCTAAATTCTGGCGGACATGCAAAAGTTTATGCAGGCCTTGCCAGGCTTTGTCAAGGCTCGCCTGAAAGCAGCATCAGATTACTGGGTCCGACCTTTTTTCATAAACGAACAACTCTGGACCAACCGGTTGGATGACGATAAAAATGAAACCAGCCCAGGCTTTAGAAATGTCAGTGAAGATACATCTATAGCATGGATTTTACTGCATTGTTCACATCAAATGATTACATATCACTACAGTGTATGTTACCAACCTCAATGATCATAAATATTTTTAGCATACATTAACCTTAAATAGTTAGTGGGATTTTGACTGGCAGATGTTACAATCAAATATAAATGTTACAATCAACAGAAATAATGAAATTTACAATCTCACAGATATTCAAGCATATTCAGTGATTGCAGAGAACTCAAAGGGAAGAAATACTCATAGGTTATTTTTAAAAATTCCTAGATATTTTAAAATGATAATTGGTCTCGTTCAATTAGAAATTTTGACTAGGGTCATAAAGATACAAGTCCATGACAGGATGCATGGTACAGAATTCTATTGCATTCAAGCAGGAAAAACCAAATCCAATACACAAGAGTTTGTGCCCTGAAAGCTGCTGTAATTGTCTGGTAGATGGAGTTAAATCATGCACACAAGTCTAGCAAACATTACACTAGTACTACCAGGCTTATAGATATTTCTTTATCATCTATTGAAAATACATTGTCAATATCTTTGTGACAAAATCATAACCATCCTCAGTAGGCTTGATATTCCAGATATCTTCTTGTCCTCAGACAGTGGCGAGCTTCGTGTGATGTAATTTGAGCAGGAGTTTTCTCCCCTGATCAGGAGTCGTCTTCCATGTAACTCTGAAGACTTTCAAAGGGATCTGTGTGTGGCGTACTGCAACAAAGACAACAAACAATGCTCATTTAGTGAAGTGATGTTTCCGAATTCTGCTATATTGCAAGAACAGCAAATTATTGTTAGAGGAAGAGGTTTGACCAACAATAAACTTGATGTTGACAGTGTGACAAGATTTCTTATTTGGAAAAGTTACATGTAAAGAAATGATAATCAAACAAAGCTTTATATAGTTTCTGAAATCTTTTGTGCGATCTAAATCTCATCTTAAAAAGATTTTTCGAGTAAGAATTAGTTAAAAACTAACCGAAGAAATTGCTGTAGTCGTCTTCTGCGTTGATACTTGCGATACATATAATAGGCTGTCATGGTAACCGTGATGATGGCCGCCACACTAAACATCAAACCTAGTATGATGTCTACAGCTGACGATGAAAAAATAGCTTGCTCCTTGTATATGACATTGGGCCCATCATCTCTGTTAGAATTGGATCTCTGGTCTGGCAGGCATTTACCTGGTAAGTACAAAGTCAATTTCTGGATGTAGGGTAATGCATTACATAGAAGGGATGACTGTCAACACATTCTACTAAAAACTTGAATTGTGTAAAGTTAATTCAAGCAATATGGCCTAATATAAGGATAAGGATATTATTATTGACTATGAAAAATGTCTACAATGAACATCTGATATATACAAATGAATTCTAGGATGGAGTCATGAGATGGACAAATATTTCTCGCACCTCAGACAGAGATATCGATATCCCATGTCATACCCCATGCTAGATTTTTCTATCCTGTCCGACCTATCTTGTACCTTTACGTGACATTTCACGAAATTTTTACACTGCAATGTATTCATCCTCCCGTTAACTGCTTGAAATTGACACTCTGCATTATAAATGTTTTGTCGTTATATGTATAGTTTTGATGTTGTAGATAAAATATAATCTACACTGTGAAATACGCTGTAATCTATGTAAGCACAGACTACATTTATACGCAGAAGCATTCAAATGTAGCTTTATTAGTGAAGAGGTAATTATCATATTACCTGTAACCCTCGACTGAGATAACCCGATCTCACTCAGTTACAGGTAAAAGATTTTATTAGTCTAATAACACATTGTAATACAGTTTCAAATGTAAATCCAGACTGCTTATGATTTTAAGGCCATCCTTAAAAATTCTTTGTTTGCAGTTTCCCAACTCACATTTCTTAATTTGATTTTTTTTTTTTATATATTTTAAGAAATCTCGTATTTCTTTATTAAAACCCTTGGTGTCTGTGATTTTTTCATTAAGAAAAATAAGATGTTTACCAAAAGCTCCAAAACTAAATTTGAGTAGGTGCCATTTTAAGCATGTTGGTTGAATTGGGAGACTGCACACAAACATTTTTTTTAATGTGACCTACTGTCATGCTATGATACATTCCTCTATCAAGTTTTACAAAATAAAATTAAGATACTCGGAAGTTATGATATATATATATAGAAACAAGATAAGGGATGAACGGATTTCTCCACAGCTTGAGTATGGGCTAGTAACATTTGAACATTGTAACAATCACATTATAGATATAGATGACGGTGTTTACCTGTAAGTACAGTTTTCTGAAGGGACTCATTGTCATCACAAATCACATGGACGAGATATTGTGTGGTCTTTTTGAGATTGCCTAGTGTGACATTGTTCTCGGTAACCATAATTGGCTCAGTTTTATTGGCTATAGATCTGCTTCTTTCCAAATCCTTGTACCACACAGTACACGAAACAGGTGTTGTGGTCAGTGCATGTAGTGATACTAAAATGGCTGCTCCATCCACACAAACACTTTCCATCTCCATGTGAAGCCCTGGGAGTGTTCCAGTGTATGCCAGCATACAGGCACCTGTGAAAAATATATTATATGTAAATAAAATTTGAACTACAAGATTGTAAACTACAGTGAAACTCTTTTTTTTTCCCATGAGTACTATCAACCACCTTTTGGACTCATTAGGAACATAAAAAAACATCCACACCTCAACAGTGACCATATTTAGTACCTGGTATTTAGGTTCTAACAGATATTTTCATCACATAGAGTACATTTCTTTGGAAATACAATTCCTAAAATTTACCAGGCCAGTGAACAGGTATAAAAATAGTGTATTTTGCAATAATTACATCATTTACTCTGTAATGACAACTCAACCATTCTTGTTGTCCTCATTGAACAATGCCATTATGGGCCCAGTTTTGGTACCTGTTTATACATCACATAAGTAACTGTTACAGTCAAACATGTAGTAAGAGACCACACGCAGGATGTCCTAAACTTAAAGGTGGTCTTTAAACAGGTGGCAGGTTGTTTTCGGAACAAGACGAAAGTCATTTTTTTAATCTTTTGTAGATACCAAGTCCATTGCCCCCTTTTTTTTCTAAGACATATTTAAATGTCAACTAAATTTTAGACATTCGATTGGATAACAAGAGTACTGCGGGGCGGAACAAGATACGCTCGTCGAATTCCATATAGTGTTATATACTTTCTTACATTGAAATAAGATCTGCATCATTCTAAGAGTGGTTAGCTGATATGCTATAAAAAATGTAGGAGAAAATCTTCAGACAAAAAATTCAAATACTGAAATGAACAAAAGGCAATAAATTTTGCAAAAATCGTTGAATCAAAATTCTTTTAAGGGAGACACAACTTCATATCATGATTATAATGTACACCAAGTCTCAAATAGATCAGTCGAAAAATGTAAGAGGAGATTGCCGGACAAATAAAGTTACGACGGACGGAGCCATACCATAAAACTACCGTCAAATTTAAACGGTCGTATATAATTATAACAACTTGTCATAGTCTTCTCCCTTCAAACATTTACCATTACACATTACATGATTTTATTAACTATATTGCTGGATTTAATGAATTGATTCTAAAATATATTGTATGTGATTCATGTATTTACTTTCATGAAATTAAGTTACAATATGTAGCAAAAATAAATGCTTAAAACATTGTTAGAATCAATGTTAACTCATTCGTCTCTTAATGTCAATAACAATAACAGAGAATAAAGTGAATTGAAAACATATTATTACAATATCAAATAAGGAATAATCCTATCAGTAATGAAAGAAGTTGATGTTGAATATCATAAGTTCCTCTAGATCTGTATTTGATAATGAGATTAGTTTCATCAGGTAACAACACACTGTCAATCGGGTATATGTCCCGAAACGACTTGATTAACACATGTGGTCACTTAAATACAGTTCAGTTAACAATTAATTCACTACAATGGAGGGGGGTGGGTGGGTCTGAAGAGGTGCCTAGATGCACACATTTTGCTGTTTTGTACTGTGAAACTGTCATGTCCAAAATAATTCCCCGAGTAATTACCCAAAAACACGATGCACTGCAAGATAAGTGGAAGTTTAACTTTATGTCTCATTTCAGATTTGAAGAGAGTATGGCGACGTCTTTTTTTGTAACTTGTCACTGCATATAAACTTCATATCGATTCTGTAGTCACATCCTCATCAGAGTTCGATGTATTACATTTTTCGGGTTGTCGAATTTGACTGTAAACACTCTATTATCTCACATATCGATGATCTTTCATAGTGTAAACCTGTACACAATATTACGTTTTTTGCTTAAGTAAGAAATCGCAATCAACATATATACGTATAAAGCTGTTTTTCTTTAAAACAACGGCCTCAAAACTGGAAAACATCATTATATCACTCCATCATCTACCAGCATCTAAACTTCCGGTCGCTGTTCGTTGGACGCTTGCAAGTCAGGCTTAGAATTTAAGCGGTCAACAGACCTCGACCCCTTATCTTAATGTTTACATATCCGGGTAATTTTATTTAGAACGGCCCGGTTTGGACGGCGAACTTTAAACTGGTCTAGTATTTTATTGGTTTGTCTTGACAGGTACGTAGAGCAGTGGGCGTTGTCAGGTATGCATTTTCTATTTGGAGTATTTTGATTGTGTTATTGGGCAAGTTTCAGGTTTTTGATTCGGCTCCGTTGGCACTGTCAGGGAACAATTCGTCCTTCAGTTGCTGTTGTTGAACGTCGATAGGAATGTCCTCTTCTCACTTGATATGTTGCCAGCAGAATAGCCTGCCAACAGCGCACTCCGGTTGTGCAGGGATTAAAACTATACTTATACTTATAAATAGTTTATAATACATATTTAAACTCTTAATTATACTTAAAGGAGTAACAAACATTATGTTGAAAGGTAAACCAGTAAAAAAATATATAACTTTTGACCACCTTAAGATACACGTATATTTTGTAAATGATGGACATTGTTATATTCATTTTCTAATTTATCGTGTGTGTAAAAGGTTGGGCACAACAGCGCATATGGGCAATAATCCCGCATTTGGGTAACATCTTTGTATGTTATGGTTGAATGCACTTCAAATCTACTTTCACTATATCCTATATAAAACATCAAAATTTTGTACTTAACTTACGTCTTTGAAAATCGCCATATCTATCGGTTATTACAAACAACTTTTGGTTGAACAGTTTTTGGTTTTGAAAGTATTTCACGACCTTTGAAGCCTTAGAAAAGTTGAGACTTCTAAAATCACGAAAATGTCCAAACACAAAAAAACGTTTAACCAAAAGTTGTTTATAATAACCATATAAATAGCGATTTTTAATAAAGATAGTGAAGTACAAAATTTTGACTTTTTATATAGGATAGTGAAAGTAGATTCGAAGTGCATTCACCCATAACATACAAAGATGTTACCCAAATGCAGGATTATTACCCATATGCACTGTTGTGCCCAACCTGTGTAATAGGAGATGAAAAATGCACGGTCAGACCAGGGTTCGAACCTGGGACCCTTCGAACTCTAGATGTAACCTATAACTGGTCGCTGACATCATCTACGCAGTCCAGTTCTGCTACATTCCTCCCTCATTTTCCTAAGTCTTTGCCCCCATAGACACAACTACATGTATTTACAACCCAGGTTCAGGTATCCCTAGTACTTGAAACAAGGGTTGGTCACTGGCACCAAATGTAATAGCAGATGGGAAATGCATGGCCAGAGGAACCTGGGACCCTCCGAACTGTTGACGGACGCTCGACCAATTGAGTTATCTGGTCGCCAATGATCCAACCAGTCCAGTTCCACTAGTGTGTTGTGGAAGGTCGACTGTTCTACAATTAATCCAAGTTATTGATGTCTGGATGGAAAATCCTGATACAGAAGGTTGCAATGATGCACTCTATTGTGACTTTCTTGAAGCAAATATGTTTGTTTGCGAGGAGTACCGGGTACTCCAAATGACATGACAATGTACTATATCTCAGTATTTGTCAAAATGTCAAACTCTGGCATGGTGTCAAAACCAGAGGAAACTTGGGCTAATACCCTGACATGTTATTTCATATGTAATGGGACCTACACCAGACATCTAGGCCAATGTGTCAAATGTCTTATTCTTGTGTCAGGAACAGATCTAGAGGAAAGTTGGGCTAGTCAGGGTATCTTTATCTAGGATATCCAGGTAAATTCAGGGCTATCTGAAAAGCCCAAGTTTTTTCTGGCCCTGAGACATTTTGAGAGTTTGATGACATTTATGTGTCAAAGTCTGGTGTCAGGGCCAGAGGAAACTCCGACCAGTAAGGGTTTCTGTATGTATAGAATATCTGGGTAAACTCAGGGCCGAGTATCTTATATTAGTAGCCCAAGTATTTTCTGGCCCTGATGCCCAGGCGGAGACATTTTGAGAGATTGATAACCAGACATTTTTGTGTCAATATCTCTAAGTCTGGTGTCAGGGCCAGAGAAAACTTGGGTTAATGTTGGGGTTGGTCTCATTCTACAGATTCACCACTACTCAATGTAAGATGCTACTGGTCGACTTTTTTTTATCAGATGTATATAGTTTCAGCAATTTTGGACCATAACACAAATGCAGAAGGGTTAATGGTATTTTGGCAATGAGATGTTTTGGTACTACTCTAGGGTAATTTCCAGTTTCAGCATTGGACTATGTATGTTTCAACTTAGTACTTTGATTTTTTTGTCCTGTGTGTTGTTGATTTTATATTTTCAGATTTTCTGCATTTTTTGTTTGCACAAAAATAGCATTATTGATTACCAATGTGAAGCATTGTTTAATTTTGCTCTTATTCATTTAATTGGTACTTTCTCCCTGAAGGGCTGAGAAACTGGTCACTCCAGATTATACTGCAATATTGATTAAGAATACACATAGTTCTTTGGTTAAATGTTATTCTTAAAAAAGTAAAGATGTAGTGAAAAGTTTTCAGACAGGATAGTAAATGAGTTTAAATTTGTAAACCAGGGTATGTTGCACTTATAAGTCCAAAAAAAGTATGCTTTTAAAAAAAAAGTTGATTCAGCGCTCCGTCAAAAAAAATCTAAAAGGAGACATATGTAGTCGGCCATTTCAGAGTAGTTGCACTTAACAAGAGAAGGATGTGAAGGATCAATCTAACCTGTGAATATAACAAGAGTCCTACCAAATCCTACTATATTGATCATGAGTATGACAATGTACTTCTAACATTCCCAAACCTGGAACAGGAGCTGGGCAGGTTTGGTTGTGTTTAGCTGCAATTCAGCAATGGTGAGATCATATACCTTGATTACAAAATCTTCAGTTTCATTGAATAATTAATGAATCATGATCACAGCAAGGCCAAAACTGATTCATCTAGCTGGCAATGTTTCAAATATTCAACGAATGTTCCGCGGGTTTTAAAAGAGTGGTTTTACAATCAGCAATCTGTTTGGTCAACAAATATTTAATTAATAAACTTATATTTTTGTCAACCAATCAGAGAGCTGGTTTTGTTCCCACTGTATGGTATTGACAGTACAAAAATCAGTTAAAATTTGCACAGCTTTAAGTGTTTTGTACATGTATTATGAAATTTTCCATAATTTTGTAGATAAATAGACAAAATGGGGTCAATTGTCGGAAAAGCTATGGACGAAAACATGAAGAAGCAGCAAGATTTCATGCTGAAGACGCAACAAATTCAGGTAAATGTGAATCTTATACGTGTAGAAGTTCTAAGGAGCTTCTAACAATTTTCAGATATCAATGCTAATGTTAATCTTGGTTATTTGTAATAATAGAATCAGGTTTGAGTTAATGGCAAAGAAATCTCAATCAGAGGGGAGCAACCTTTGCATGCCAAGACCTGAATGTTTGACATTTCAGAAGATTACCCCAAGGATTGAGATTTTAGAAATTGGGAAATGACTCCTTTTTCATCATAATCCTTAAAAGAATGTTTCAGCGAAAAAAAATGCTTTCTGCAATATTCGTCCATTAAAACTCAATGTACTACCGTAAGTAATATCTACTGCCATTGTTGGTCCGAAATAATCAAGAGTCTCAAGGGTCAGCTTTATATAAACAGTCTGAGATGGTACCTGTACACATGAAGATATTATTGGTGTATATTTGCACTTAAGGAATAGGTGCTACATATATGCATCAGATATTTAATATTTGAGAAATGTACAGTACTTGCTTTTCTTCTGCTATTGTAGCTGGAGCGTATGATCCAGATGAATAATCAGATGAGGGAGCGAGCTATGGCAGCACAAGTCGCCAGAGCAAGGGACATGTTTAATTTCTATGCTGCTTTCTATGGCCTTGCCTGTATCGGTGGAATAGCAGGGTAAGGAGGTTAGCATTTTCACGTATACATGTAATCAAATTTTGTGTGATTAATACTGGTAATAAGTATCACACTTTGCAATTAAACATTCAGGTATTAGATATATATTTCCTTTGGTGCATGACCAAGAAGTACTAGGTCAGTGTCACAAAAATCACTTAAAGTTTGAGGATAAGTGATCGGAGGATGCAACTACTATGTGGTCCATCCATAATGGAGGATTTTCTGTTCTCTGCTTAGGTAGATGATTATGAGGAAACCATTGCTCAATATTCTGTGTACATGCATATTTTGACTGACAGTCATAGGTATATAGCTACGTATACTGTCTGTTGGCTCTACAAAACATGCGAGGTTGCAGCCTTGCTATGGCTTGAACTTCAAACTCCCCTGACTGTAACTCATATAAAAGATAAGTCATACACAAGCCAGTTACAGACATTTCTTCCCCTCACTCTTGTTGGTTATCTGATTATTTCCTCATTCCTGTGGCATAGGATAAAGAGGTAAGTTGTTGGTTTAAAATGTCTTTCAGTTGAAAGTGTTGACATTGATAAGTTATATAACAATAACCAAAAGGCTTGGGGTGATGATATTTAGCCAGTAGCATGCTAGTATGAAGGCCTATCAATTTTTTTCAAATAGATTACCTTGCATTAACCCAATTTCAACGTCAAAGGTCAGATAATTAAAACTTCAACTACCGTTATATATAAGTTCTTCTGAAGAACCCATTGGCCTCGGATGCTGGGCTGAAAGGCTATCAAGTTTGTTCAAGCGAATGACCTTGAGTTATATGAGGTTAAACCTTTAAAACATTTTTTTCTGATTTATGATATTTTGAGGGTCATGATATTTGGCCTGTAGCTTAATGGTGTAAAGTGCAATGATGTATGTGATCGAAACGAATGACCTAGACCATCTTTAAAGGTTACATTAATAATAAGAGCTAAAATCTTTCAACAAAGATTCATGTGTATTGTAATGAAAGGTCAGGGATGTAAAATTATACATAAGTCATACAGGCCCATTGGACCTCTTGTTCTCTTCATATAGTGTATGTATTCATGTACAATGTAGTTTGTTTAATGATGGGTGATGTTACTTGCCTTTTCAACTAACATAGCATATAAAATTTGATTTCCTGCTAACATTAACCTACATTACATGAACATACTCTTTAACCTCATATCAAAAATTATTTCTTTTTCTTTTTTCAGAAAGTCATTCTGTTATGTTAGATTTCTTTATCATATTTTTCTCTGTCAAATCATTTGTGACATTTAAGGGAAAGGGTGCCAATGCATCAGCTTTAATCACAAAGAAGAGTTCCACTCTGATTTTTTTTTTAACTTAGAGTATATATTCTCCCTTTTTGTTTTTTATAGAAGATGAAGCAACCAAAACAGGTTATTTTCTGGCTAAGTGTAACTGTTATGTTGTTTCAATAATGACACGATATGGTATTGTATGTACTTGCATTATTTTGCTATTAACATATTCTGACTCAGCCAGAAAATATAAAAAAAAAAAAATGTTATTTTTGGTATTGACAGGTTCATGAGGAAGAAGAATCCATCAGCTATTGCGCCACTTCTACCACTGACGTTTGTGTTCATGTACCAGGCAGATATGGCTTATGGTGACAAGTTAGTGAGAATTAGAGGTAAATGACATAGTGGGTATTACAGGGGGTTATGACTTACGGTGACAAGTTAGTGAGAATTAAAGTAAATGACATACTGGGTATTACAAGGGGTAATGACTTACGGTGATAAGTTAGTGAGAATTAAAGTAAATGACATAGTGGGTATTACAGGGGGTTATGACTTACGGTGACAAGTCCGTGAGAATTAGAGGTAAATGACATACTGGGTATTACAGGGGGATATGACTTACGATGACAAGTTCGTGAGAATTAGAGATCAGTGATGTGTACCAGGACGATAGAGCTTGCAGCGACAAGTCGGTGATATTTGGGGGTCATTGATATATAACAGGTTTGGCTTATGGTGACAAAATAGGGAGAGTTAAGGATAAGTAACATATACAAAGGGGTATGGCTTATGGTGACAGGTAGGTGGAGATCTGGGCCATTTTCGTTTATCATGTTCCAAAGGGTTGAACATGATATGATGTTGCTTTATGGTGAGCCTTGGCAAAGACTTTCAAGGCCTGCATTAACATAACCAGGTTTATCCAGCTTTATTCCTGAAATATCACATTTACATTTAGACAAACTTGTTCATCCACATGGACGAGCAGACCCCATGATCAGTGACTTTTACCAGGGAGATATAGTTTACAGTAACCAGTTAGTTGAGATTCAGATGTCGGTGACAAAAAGTTTACATAACATAAGTTGAGATAGTGAAGATCAGATGGCATCGGCGACATATTCACGTAACATCAGTCAAGGTATTTGGGATCATATGTCTATAACGACAA